AAACTAATCACAGAAGGCTTACGTTAGGCTCAGAACACACCTTTCAGATCCTCTGTTTAACTCCCTCACTTAAGAGCTGAGCAGACAGCGGTTTGAGAGATGAGGCAGTGCTGCAGAAAACCAGTGGCAGGGCTTTTCCAGAAAAGACTCGCTTTTGCCTTTGACCTCATAACTGGATCTTTTTAACAAGACATTTTTATCACTACTCCTTTTCACCTTGTTTTTTTTTCCCCATCTCAGAAATATCACACTTTTTTCACTAATAACCTTTGACTCTCTTGGATCAACACTGAATTTAGACCCAGCAGGAATCCTGAGCAGGGAACTGTGGCTCATCGCAAGAGCCGGTGTCGTTCCTGTGGAGTAACCATGTCCCGTGTTTTTAATATTTGTGACACAGCCCATGTTACAAGACTGCATGTTTTCAGGGTTTCCCCACATTTGAATGTGGTATTCATGCCCTCTGATGGGCTTCCACTTTGTGGAGAGAGAGAAACGTGTTGGATTTTAACGTGTTGCTCTGCATTCTTCTCCCGTGAAGTTATTTTTCTCAGGTAAGCATATCATTAAGCTGAGTGTGGGTGGAGTTGTCAGTTTGCTGCACACTGTAGAAGATCGAATCGCCAGGGAGAGAGAAGCATGTAGCTCCTGCTTCTGAGCAGAGAAAGGAAATGGTATATATTAGTTTTCTATTGCTGTGTGACAAGTCACTATAAACTGAACAGCTGAAACAACACAGACGTGTTATCTCATGGTTTCGGGAGCCTTCTGCCCAAGGTCTCGCCAGGCTGCAGTGGTGGTGTCAGCTGGGGCTGTGGTCCTGTCTGAGCCTCAAGTTCTCTTCCAGTCTCCTTCAGACTCTTCAGCTCCAGCAGTGGCAGGACTGACACCACGCGCTCTTGCTGGCTGGTGGCTGGGGACCACTCTCAGTTCCTGGCCATGTAGCCCCTCCATTGCTGTCTGATACTTCCAGTGTCTGACTCCCTGTCTTTTCCCTTAGGCCCAGATTCATAAGGCTCCTGTGGCTCTGTCAGGCCCAGGTGGTCTCCCTGCTGACTGGGTCATAGTCTACTGATTGGTCACCCTAGTTACATCTGCAGGACTGACTCCCACCACTTTCATAGTCCCGACCTCATAGAGGGGCTGGCAGGACGTGTACATCAGGTCATCTCAGAGTCCTGCTGCTTCATGGGGTGGCACTTGTCCTTAGAAGGAATATGGTGTGGGCAAACTGAACAGTGCCACTTCGTAAAATTGCTGTAAACAAATGCATAGCATTGAGGACTGGGACGATTTTAAACCTTACCATTTTAAAAAATACAACCCATGCGTCTCAGGAGCATCCTGTGGTTCCTGGAGGGATGCAGGCATGTCCCTGATTGGAGTTAGAATTCAGGAATTTGCAGAGAGGCCGTGGGGTGGTGTGCACTCTTGAGACTTTTCCTGTGTACTGGAAGGGTCCCACATCCTGTCCACCCTGAACTGCATCCACAGTGACTCTGGAAACAGAAGCCAGTCCCAAATTGTTTACCTGCTCCTTATAAAAGTCTAAGAAGAAGGTTATTAGGATGCCAGTGTTCTAGTATTGTGTCAGCGGGATTCGTTTCTGTCTTCTCTATGGTGCTTTTCCTGTGCACAGATGTGTAGGGGAGTGTGGGGCACATGCATGTGGATAATCCACCTGATGCCATGCCCCTCCCTTACCCGCGTCCTCTGCTGCTCATTCTGTTCTCTCGCTGCAGCCTGGGAGCTGCTCGTTCCAGCAGGAGTGGTGAGAATGGAAGTTATTGGGTGTTAGTCTGCTTGGGCTGCCAAAAGAGAGCGCCACAGACTGGGCAGCTTAAACAACAGAAGTTTATCGTCTCACAGTTCTGGAGGCTGGAGGTCCAAGATCAAGGTGTTGGCAGGATTGGTGTCTCCTGAAACCTTTCTCTTTGGCTTGCAGGCGACGGTTTTCTCTGTGACCTCACATGGGCTTTCCTCTGTGTGCACACACCCCTGGGGTGTCTTCCTCTTCTTATCAGGACACTCAGTCACATTGGATTAGGGCCCCACACCCTATGACCTCATTTCAACTTCATTACCTCCTTAAAGACCCCATGGCCAAACACAGTTGCTGGGAAAAAGTAAATAAACCTTCCCCATGAAAAGGAGGGCTGGTTATATATAATACACATATGTTGTGTGTGATGTATATATTATAAATGTATATGTATATATGTACCTATATAATATGTAATGTAGTATATAATATAGTGGCATATATAAAAATATATATGATATATTTTGCGTGTATATATATATATATATATATATATATATGTATGATAAAAATAAATAAGAGAAAAGCAGGCAGGGACATTGCAGGGTTGGTGTAGGGTCCAGGCCTGGTGCTGGGCACTCCAGCTGGCACAACTGACAGAAGTGTGTGGCTTTCATGGGGAAAATCTTTGGTCTATGGAGGTGATGAAGGGGTTCCTTTATGCTGTTGTTGTTTCCCGATTCTGGGTTTTCCAGGGTCCTGCTGCTGTAGGAATTCCTGTGAGCTGCAGAGCCTTTTCACAGAAACCAGCGCTTTCTCAGGCTTCCTGGAGCCACTCTGCCTCCGGCTTCCTCTGCCCCCCGTGGCTCATGTGGGTCCTCTCCCCAAGACTATCACCAGAAGCCTCCTCACCCATCTCCTGCTGTTTCCAGGCGCATCTGGGGGCTGTGTGGGGCTGGGTGGAAATCTCTTTTGGGGCTCAAATGCCTCTACCAAAGTTGCTGTTTGAAAAATATGTTCTGATGGAGCAGGCAAGCTAATGTTTTAAGATTACAAGGCAGATGGAAACTGACTTTCTTTTTGTTGAGTTCTATAAGTGGAATGTAGTTAAGATAAACTGTGCACAGACAGCACTCCCTCCCCGCCTCCTTGGCGTCACCTCCCTCTGCCTGTCCCCGGGCGAGTCCAGACCGCCGGTCTCCTGGCAGTTCCCATCACACCAAAGCCTGTCCAGCTCATTCTCAGAGCATACGCTGCCTTCCCCTGTGACTAAATGGTGACCTAGCGTTTGGAAACTTTCTTCTGGAAGAGGACGGACGCTTTCAAGTTCCCTTGTACTTTCTGTGGGAACCCAACCAATGGTCATGATGGGGAAGAAAGACTGAGGAGCTACTGCTCACAGTGATATAAAGTCAAGGTCTGACCTTTAGGAAAGAAAATAGGAATGTGGTTAACTGTGGTTTCTCTTATCAGACATCAAGGCTGTCTGTCCACTAAGAAGAGGTCTGACTGGCAGTGAGTGAGCAGGATGAGCAGGTGATTGAGCGCTGTTTCTGTGTCTTATCTCAGAGCCAGCTGACCTCAGGCTGGAGCCTGCTGGGACCTCGTCACAGCTGGAGTAGCAGCCTTGAAGAAGGCCCTGGCCTTGTAGGGAGTGCAGGTTGGCCCAGGAAGAATACCTTTGTGCTCACATTGGGGGGTCTTGATTCTGTTGCCCCCAGGGGGTGCTATCTAGTGGTTTGATCTTGCCTTGCATTTTTTTTCTTTTTTTTGAGGACAGAGCTATATCTAATTTATCCTTGTTGGCCCTATAATGACAAAACTATGCTGTGCACATAATAGGCTTGGAAGATCTTGAATTAGAGGAATACAAGAAAATAGAGGCTTAAAATGGAAGGGAATACTGCTCTCTTCAGTGTCTGGAGCACCTGATGGCTAGGAGCCCCTGGAAGTTTACCATGGGTTCCCTCAGATTCACAGTATGGAAAAAATATCTCAGTACTTCACCCCTGAAGCTCAGGAGTCAGATGTAGCTCACTTGGTCCACCTTGAGATCCAGAATTGCTGCCCTAATTCAGCAGTCTGGACACGCAGGCAAGGAGCGGCATTTTATGGGGAAAGAACCAGAAAGAAGGTGATGGTTGAAGTGAAATGTGTTTTAGTGTTTTTTTTCCTTCAACAATATCACCCAGCGGATTTCTTGGTAAGATTTCCTCATATAGCATAGCATGTTGGGATAAAGCCATGTTCCTCTACTTAGTTATAACAACGGACGAAACTGCCTCTGAGGAACTCTTAAAAATGCCCTCTGTGGGACTAATTAGCCTATTTTTCCAGAGTTAAAAAAAAGTCTAAAGAAATTTACAAATAACGTTTTCATCTAAATATCTATTAATAGTAACTAACAGGTGTAGAAAACTGACTGTGTTGGGCATTGGTTCTGAGGGACTGGCTTGTGTTATCTACATCATCTTGAATGATGTGGAGAGGACGCATCTATTTTATCTCCATTCTGCAGATGAGGACAATGAGATGTAGAGAGGTTCTACTTTTGGTCTTTATGAATTTACCTATTGTAGGTACCTCATAGAAGTGGAATCAGACAGTATTTGTCCTTTTGTGACTGGCTTATTTCACTTAGCATAGTGTCCTCAAGTTCATCCATATTGTACCATGTTTCAGAATTCCCTTCCTTTTCACAATTGAATAGTGTTCCATAGTATGGATATACCACATTTTGCTTATCCATTCATCTGTTGTTGGGCCTTTGAGTTGTTTCCACTTTGTGGCTATTGTGAGTAATGATGCTATGAATCCTTGCCTTTAATTCTTTGGAGTAGACATTTTACCCATTTTAAAGTGTACAATTCCGTGGCATTTAGTGCCTTCACAGTGTTGTGCAGCCATCACCACTACCTAGTTCCAGAACATTTTCATCACCTCAAACTGAGCCCTGTACCCAGTAAATAACTTCTCCCCACTTCCCCTCTCCCCAGCCCCTGGCAACCACTAATCTGCCTCTCTCTCTATAGATTTGCCTCTTCTGGATATTTGCTATAAATGGAGTCATACTATATGTGGCCTTTATGAATATTCTTTTTAAAATACTTTCTATTATGGAAATTTTCAACATACTAGAAAGTACAAAGAATTGTTAAGGGAACTCCATGTGCCCTTCACTCAGCTCTGACCATGATCAACCTCCTGCCAGTCTTGTTAATGATGGTCTCTTTACCAGGGAAAAAAAGCAGTATGTGAACCGATTCTGGAAAGAAATCCACGTGGGAGATTTTGTGCGTCTTCGCTGCAACGAGATCATCCCTGCGGACATTCTGCTGCTCTCCTCCAGCGACCCCGATGGGCTGTGCCACATTGAGACTGCCAACCTAGACGGAGAGACCAACCTGAAGCGGCGGCAGGTGGTCCGCGGCTTCTCTGAGCATGTAAGTGCCCCCACACTTCCAGGGCATCCCAGGCACCATGTCCACACAGTATCACCCATGCCGGCCCTTTGGGCTTCAGAGCACTGCATTCCCCTTCCATCAGGCCGGGCCCCTTTTCCTAGTAGACAAGTGGGGGACTTGAGGGTCTGAGAGAACCCCTGACCTTCCTGAGCTCATGAGTAGCCTGAAGCTGTGGGGAACAGGACCCAGTTTTTAGGACTGTCATTTCCACTGTACACTTCTGAGTTTCTCAAAATAGTATTTGGAGTCCCTTTAATGTTATAAGGGACATTTACGACCAGCTGACTGTTGACGTTTACCCAGCTGTTACTCTACCTCACTAAACGGCAACACAGCAGAAGAAGTAATGGCCTGTTGCCGATGCATCGCTCCCCTCAAGGGTGTTTCTGAGTTCAGCATCAGGTCTTCCATAACTCAGTTCTGCCTAGAGGAACATCAGCCACAGCTCAGAAATGCACAGCCCATGGGGAGTGAGACGTAGAGGGGGAAATGAGGTCTGACTGCATTCACCAGCAGCCTTGTGGCCCGAAAGTTCAAGCCCCTGTGAAGAGTCCACGCTCCCACCTCCCGGTCTGTGCAGAGGATGCAGGGCTGCAAACTCCGAGTGAAATTAAAGTAGCGTGAGCTGCCAGGATCAGGAAGTGTCTGGAAGAGAAATGGGTTTGCCTGAGCCTTGTTCTCCTAATACCTGCCCTGTCCTAGGATGCCTGTCTCAACCATGTCTGGGAGGCTCCCAGAACCCAAAGTTCCTAACGCCTCTCCAGGGCACAGATTGGTATGTGGACTAACCTTGAAATCAGTAGGATACTGCATCTCCCTCCCAGTTCTTGTGATCTCGGCCTGCACGGGGTTAAGAAAAGGCAGTGGCTGCACAGGCTAGAACGTTACCCACCTAGAGGAGCAGCCAGTGAGCACAGAGGATGACTGTAACGTAAATGAATGTATGTGAATAGCTAATGGGTGAAACTTCAGACACTGTAGAAGATATGGCAAAATTTGAAAACCGAAGAGCAGAGCATGCATGTTTAGGGTAGTGGGTGGGGGAAAAGCCACAAGTGTCTCTCTTTGGTCAAGCCTCAAGAATAGCTTCCTTGTTTCATACCTTCTGGTTTTATTCAGTGACTGAATTCAGTAATATTTAAAAGCTCCTCTGCCCACTTTTTCCCCAAACAACAACTGGAACACTTCATAGCTCAATGATGCTTTCTATAAACAAGCTGTTTGTTAGTCGGATGTTTAAAACTCAAGGATGGCTGCAGACAGACACATCCTATATCACCTTCTGTAGGGCCCCATGAGTGTCTGTGGCAGTAATGGGTTGAGCCATAATTTAGTCAAAATGGCCAAAATTAACAACCCAAACAATTCTGATTTTAGAAAAAGTTTCTTTATCAGCACCCCAAATCTTCAATATGCATCCACAATTCTAGTGCTCATTATTGGTATATTTTTTCGCTTTCTCATTTCTTTTTTTTTACTCTTTCCCTAAATGTTCAAAGACATTTTTCTGGTACTTGAATTCCTGTTCATACATTATTATTCTGAAATATATGAACCATGTCATGGAAAATAAACATAGGAAGTCTCTGACTTTTACAAACCTGTCAATTGGAAAGCAAGGCTCTGACTGCAATCTTCCAATGCCAAGAACATTTCGGTTCTCTGTATTTAAGCGATTTCATAAAACGGAGTCAGCTAGTGTCTCAGACTGGAGAAGAACTGACTCCTGTCCAATACAAAGTGATATGTTGCGAGTTTGAGGACTGGTCACTTGGAAGTTGTTGCCCGTAGGAAAACATAAATTAGAAGCAATTTGCAAAACTTAGGTGAAGCATAAGAGAGGAGCTTGGCATTAATGCAGAGACTGGGTGTATCTGTCAGGTTCCATGGAGGAAGCAGAAACCACACATGATTCAGGCAGGGAAAGTTTAATGTAAAGAATTCCAGGGGAGGGCCAGCCCCTGTGGCCTGGTGGTTAAATTTGACGTGTTCTGCTTTGGTGGCCTGGGTTCGGTTCCCAGGCATGGACGTATACCAACTCGTTTATCAGTGGCCATGCAGTGGTGGCGGCCCACATACAAAAAGAGGAAGATTGGCAACAGATGTTAAGGTCAGGAGGAATCTTCCTCAGCCAAGAAAAAAAGAATTCCATTGAAGGACTGTGTGGTAAGAAGTAAAGTAAGAAGTAAAAACTTGCAAGAATACAGACATAGCTGAATGAGGAGCAGCCACTGGCCTTGGGGCTGAGATAGCACCCAGGGAGAGGCCCCCCAGGCTGAGTCTTATTCTGATGGCCGAGGGCACGGCCATCACTCAGGTGATGGTAGAAAAGCTGCTGAGGGGCTGTGCAAGCTAGAAGTGGACCCTCAGGGTGCAGGGGAACCGTCCACAGGGAAGTGCCAAGCCAGGGAACTTGGGAGATGCCAGGGGCTTCTGGCCGCTGGATGCCAGGGATGCCACCCTCTGCTTGTGGCTCCCACCACTGCAGTAGACAAAACCCAGGTGGTGGCTCTCTAGACAGCTGGCCCCATGGAGCTCAGGGCTGCATGTAGAAGCGTTCCAGGAAAAGGTACAGGGAGCAGCGGCCCAGGTTGGGATCTGGGCCCCTGCCCTCAGGGCCTCTGGTTATCCAAGCTGAGAGCTGAAGAAAACATGCACAGGCCGAGTCCCAGAGAAAACTGTGCCCTGCAGGCTTCCTGTCTTGGAAAAACCTGGAGGGGCCTGGCAATGGAGAATAAATCCAGACTCCCCACCACCCCAAAGCCAGTTCCTTCCTCCTGCAGCGTCCCTCCAGTGCCCTCTACTGACAAGGCAAAAACTTAGCTCCTCTTTCCACCCTCTCCCTTTCTAGAAGTCATTTATGAAGTGCTTGTTTGCTTTGAGAAGGATGCTGATGAAGAGGGACATGGTCCATGTGCTGCAGGGTCTAATAATTTACCTTGAGGACTCAGGCCTGTTCACTAGCCGACTCCCGGTATTGAGCAGCAGAAAGAATCCTGGGAGGGCCGGCCCCGTGGCCGAGTGGTTAAGTTCGCGCACTCTGCTACGGTGGCCCAGGGTTTCGCCGGTTCAGATCCTGGGCGCGGACATGGCATTGCTCGTCAGGCTACGTTGAGGCGGCATCCCACATGCCACAACCAGAAGGACCTGCAACTAAGATATACAACTATGTATGGGAGGAGATTTGGGGAGATAAAGCAGAAAAAAAAAACAAGATTGGCAGATTAGCAACAGTTGTTAGCTCAGGTGCCAATCTTTAAAAAAAATAAGAATCCTGGGGTCTCCTGTTAGGGGATTGGGGTTGCAAAGTGGCCGTCAAGAGGTCAAGGAAGGCTTCCAGAAAAAGGAGCTTGAAACTTACTCTGAAGGCTAGGATGGGGAGGGTTGGGTGCCAGGTATGTTAGGCAATGACACAGGTCAGAAGGCGTCTCAGAGGTGGAAATAGGATAGGATTTAATGAAGAGCATTGGACAAATTGTACAGAATTGGAGGGCTAGCAGCAGGAAGGCAACATGCACAGCCTGCCCAGACCGCCAAACCCAAGGACAAGGCTCCCAGACACTGCCAGCCCTCGCCATGCCTCTCACATTTGTGGTAGCACAAACATTTTAAAAACAACTTCACATCTTTTTTAATATGAATCTTGTGAGATCGTGATTGTCACATCCTTTTATAGATGAGAAATGGAAAATGTGACATCAGGAGATTCTCCCAAGGCGCCCTCCTCCCAAATCAGGGCAGAGCTGGGAGCCAGTTCTGGGTTCTCTCACCTCCTGAGTTGGTTTTCTCCAGCATCCAGGCCTCCTGTTTCGCACTTGGCATCTGTGGTCACTTCACAAATATTCCTTCAGACCTGCATCCCTGCCCGTGAGCCTGCGTGCCCTCAGCCTCTGAACGAGTAGAAGTTTCTAGTTCATCTATCACAACATTTGCACAGTCATTTCTGCAGAATTGGGAGTTCCTTAGGCTGATAATTTTATACAAAAGTTGCTTTTTTCAAAGACTAATTCTTTTGATTTTTCATTCTTTCAACAAGTATTTATTGATTGCCCACTCTCTTCAAATGCAGTTCTAGGCGCTGCATTGGTCAAAGCAGGCTACCATCTTTCCCCTCACAGCGTTTATGAGGCCGTGTAAGTAAGTAAATTAGGCAGATGGTGGAAGAGCATTGGTGCTGAGGAGTAAATGATAAAGCACAAACAGGATGTGAAATGTCAGGTGGGTGTTGGAATTTCAGGTGTAGGTGGGGCAGGGCAGGCCTCCCCCAGAGCTGTGGGAGAGTGGGACCTGAGACATTGCTGGACCAGCCTCATCAGTGTCTGGGAGGAGCTGTCCAGGAGGTGACTTGTGTACTGGCTAATTTACTGAGAAAACACGTTCCTCCAGTTTGTCTCTTGGATGGACTAGGGGCTTATTGCCCTCTCCCCCAGGCACACCCACGGGGCCATCTGCCTCTTGCCGTCTGGAGCAGTGACTGTGAGGCTTGCAGGAAGAGCTGAGATCACAAGGCTGCCAATCATAAGCCTTTCCAGGCATGTGTGGGTGTGTGCTTTTGCGTGTGTGCCTGGTAGATGCTCCCAATCAAGAGGAAGGATGAAACCGGTATGGAAACTCTCCTAGGCTGAAAGGAGTCTGAGAAGCTACTCGAAAACACGTACCGAATGTCTAGACCTGCAGTGATCCTAAGACCATTATGTGGCTTTACCTCCACTTTGCACATATATTTTTACCAAATTCCCCCCAGTGTTCTTGGGGGCCAGGCACTCTCAGGCAATGACAAAGAAAAATTTCCTTTATGAGGGAGAGGCAGTTCTCCCCAAAGTTACTTGAAAGATTCAAGGAGCTTAGAAAAATGACTTAAAAATTCCCAATATGTAGGAGACAAAATTATTATTATTTTTTGTTTCTACCTATGCATGTTCCCCAAACCATCTCTACCAAGTGAAAACTAGAGGTGAGAAAGTAGAGTTTGCAAGATA